ACCACACCCAGCTAATTTTTGTATTTTTAAGAAGAGACAGTGTTGCACCACGTTGGTCAGGCTGGTCTTGAACACCCGACCTTGTGATCTGCCCACCTTAGCCTCCCAAAGTGCTAGGATTTCAGGCGTGAGCCACCGTGCCCAGCTACCAATAAGTTCTAATATGCATATTATTAGATATCTCCCCTGGAAATCACAAAGGAAGGGATCACATTAGAGAAGGACATGCCATCCTCTCAGTAAATCCCAATGCAAAGTCATTTTTCCTTGAGTGTTGGAACAGACTGCTATTTGTATAGCTGAACACAAGTGAAGTAGCTGGCTTGGATTTGGGGACCATAAACAATGACACATTTAAAACATTACAATCATAGTCCAGCTCTGAGATGCTCACCAAATAAATACATAAATAAATAAAACTAAGAGGGAATTGAGAATAGCAACAGCATAGTCACTGCTCCCATGTCAGAATAAGCTCACAGAAAGGAGTAGCAGTTGAGTTACCCGCCCACTCCTATCCTGTTTTTTTTCTTTTTTTGAGATAAGTCTCACTCTGTCGCCCAGGCTGGAGTACAGTAGATGGAGTGTAGTGGCTCACTGCAACCTCCGCCTCCTGGCTTTAACTGATTCTCATGCCTCAGCTTCGGGAGCAGCTGAGACTACATGCACATGCCACTATGCCCAGCTAACTTTTATATTTTTAGTAGAGATGGAGTTTTATCATGTTGGCCAAGCTGGTCTCAAACTCCTGACCTCAAGTGATCCACTCGTCTTGGCCTACCAAAGTGCTGGGATTACAGGTGTGAGCCACTGTGCCTAGACATCATTGTTTTTTACTCTCAATTTGACTTTATTTACTTATGTTTTGCTAAACAGATATATTTGAATTCTTTAGAGTTGTATGTGTATATGATGCATCTTCTCTTATACAAGAGCCTTTATCAGGGCAGATTTGGTAAAAGAAAGGAAAATGCAATTCAATGCAATCTCTATCTACAGAGGAATGACTAAGTTATAGTCTGTTCTACATCTAGAATATTCCGTAGCCACTGACAAGCATGAACTAAATCAACATGTACTCTATTAAAAAGATGTTAATATGTTGGTAAATTATTTTTAAACTGAGTTGCCAAGTAGAGAGCATTTTTAGAGTCCTGTATTTGTGTCTATGCATTTCTGGGTATAACAGAAAAAAATGTGTGTGTGTGTGTGTGTGTGTGTGTGTGTGTACAACAGATCATTAATACAAGTTATCTCAGGATGATGTGATGAAGTGATGAAGGGAAATTTAATTTTTCATTCACATGATTTTATTACTCAATAACATCCACTTTTTTCTACATACAGTTCTTTATACACATACATATATATAAGTTGTATATGTATATTTATATACATAAATATGTACACATACAACACATTTTTATATAAAGGAAATTGTAAAGGGAAGTTCTTATAAACGTACCTATTTCTGATTAGGAAATACTAAAGGTATAATTCTTGAGGAAAAAATACAGGTATTAGCTTGATCATATAGATGATTTGAAAAGTTTTGGGTCTGTAGATCTCCTGACAATTTCTCTGGAAATTAACCTCCTAAGTAATTAACCTCCACAGGCTTCACAGATGTCCATTATCGGCTCCCCATTTGGTCTGCCAGCTTGTCCACTGTTACAGCAGGACAGAGTGAGAACCTTTATGACTATATTTCTCTGAGATTGTTCAAGAGAACTTCTCCATCAGCAAAGGCAGAGATCAATATATAGAATTAATCAATTTTATAACCCCACCCCACCCTTGTCTACTAAGGCCTCTGACACACTTAAAGAAAGCGTTGTTTTTTTTAAAAAAAAAAATTCTTAACTTAGATTTTCAAAGCCAAGACTTCTTCTAAAATGATGAGAAATCTGGGCGAGAATGCCTAGGCTGTCCACCAAGGTCTCAACAACGTACTAAAGGACCTCAGATTCCAACTTCCTTGGCTAAGGAATCCATTCAGTTCGAGGCCCCCAACTGAAGAGCTACCAGAGGAAATAGCTGGGGACTATTTCCTAGATCTACTCTAGAATTACTTCTTTTTATATACCTTCTCTTTTGCGTGGGAAATAGTAAGAAGAAGATCTCTGATTCCTAATCTTAAAAAATGTACTGCATGCTCTATTCCTAATCAGATTCTCTTTTCCACACACTGGACTGAGAAAACACTATTCTCCACATCTGAAATCTGAGCTGTTATCAGCCTTCACAACCTACATATGGCCTGGCTCAAGAGCTCAAAAATCTGGGGACAGCAGCAGCCCATGCAAAACACTTAAAAGTTTCCTGATCCACATCTCTAGACCTACATCAACCCAAATTATGATCAGCAGTGTCACTGAAATATAGTGCTGAATGGTAAGTTGTTTCCTTAATTGACGTGCTGTCTTTAAAAAGTATTTAAAAGATGTAAGCCAGGTATACTGCTGTATATGCCACACACACTGTTCCATTTAGAAGATCCACAATAGGAATGACAGACAGTGGAGAATCACAAGCATGAGGGGGTGGGAGGAGGGTGGATGAGAAATTACTTAATGGGTATAATGTATGTTATTCAGGTGATAGATACCCTAAAAGCCCTGACGTGACCACCATGCAATCTATGCTTATAACAAAACCGTACTTGTACCCCAAAAGTCTATATAAAAATAAATCAAATTTAAAGCCACAAAAATCTATTACGTGAGCTATAAGATCCTCTCAATCAAATCTCAAAGTGGGAAGCTTGGGAATGTTATTTTTATGTTTTAATGTTTTACTTGGATGATGTTCATTGTGTTCCATGATGTATAAATTCTCACAACAGGTATCAGATAATTGGTAAAAATGTAAAAGACAACCCAAGTTCTAGACCTTCCAAAAATTTTAATTATTGACAAAGGAGGCAACGAAAATACTAAGAAAATAGCAACCTGCCCTCACTCCTGTCCCACCAGCTCTTTTGCCTAAAGAACATTTGTTGATGTGGTGTCAAATCCCCAGGCCAAAGCTAGAAATCAATCTAAAACTAAAAATCAACAAAATAGTAGACTCCAGTTTACTATTTTGTTTTTCATTACTTCAGTCATACCTACCCAAACATATAACAAAGGCTTCCTTTATAAATGTATGATTTTGTCAATTCTAACGCAGTCTTCAAAGGTAAAAATACAAAAATCTCAAGAAGAGATTTTAAAAAGCACTGAGATAGAAACGTTTGCAAGACAGTTACAAAGGGGTTACGATGCAACTAATTTAAGTAGCTGCAAGTCATGAGTAAAGGTGTACACCAAATTAGTGTTTTACTTAAAAAGAAAAATCAAGGTGGGGAGTTGGGGAGAGATAGCATGGGGAGAAATGCCAGATTTAGGTGATGGGAAGGAAGGCAGCAAATCACACTGCCATGTGTGTACCTATGCAACAACCTTGCATGTTCTTCACATGTACCCCAAAACCTAAAATGCAATAAAAAAAATTTTTAAATAAATAATAATAAAAATTAAAAAAAAAAAATCGGGCCATATACCTTTCCCTGAAAATGAAAGGACACACTGAAACAGTTACAAATTTCCTACAAAGCAAGAACGTTCTGTTCTACTCTAATCACTGATTTGAAGTCTCCTCCCTTACTGTATAGATGAAAGAATCCCATCACTTAAGCCCCTAATTGGTTTTTCAAAGGTAACTTGAAATACAAGAAACATTCTAAAAACCTACAAGGAGAAAGCATCACAAGTAGACAATCCTTACAATGACCTTCCACTCCACATCTGGCATTTCATGCGGAGCCCTATTCCCAGACTGCTTGCCTCTAAAACATGATTTCATGCCATTTTCCAACATAAATGTCTTTCAGTGCCTTCCCACTGTTTAATCAGTTCTAAGCCCTTATCTACTTTTCATACATTTCAAAATTAAGCTCTATTATAAATAATCAGTCTTATGTCTAATTACTCCCAGACAGAATTTCTTTTTTATTACCATTATTTTTAATTTTGTTGAGACAGTCTCGCTGTCACCCAGAGCTGGAGTGCAGTGGCGCAATCTCAGCTCACTGCAACTTCCACCTCCCAGGTTCAAGCGATTCTCATGCCTCATCCTCCCGAGTAGCTGGGACTACAGGCATGTGCCACCATGCCCAGCTAATTTTTGTATTTTTAGTAGAAATGGGGTTTCACCATGTTGGCCAGGCTGGTCTCGAACTCCTGACCTCAAGTGATCTGTCCACGTCGACCTCCCAAAGTGCTGGGATTACAGGCATGAGCCACCATGCCTGGCTTAGAAACTTCTGTATTTAAAAACAAAAGATAAAAACATACCTGATGACTTATACAAAGTTCGTCCACATTTATATTCTATATAAATTATAATAAAAATAAACAGATATAGATGACTTAAATTTTAAATAATCATTATAATAACTGAGGTACTATTAATCCTACTTTGTAGGTGAAAAGCAGAAAAGTTCAAAAAATCAAACAACTCCCTCCAAATCACATGGTCAGAGGCACAATTCAAATGGTTACTTTACTCCAATCCACCAGCCTTCCCCTTGACGAATGGTTTTGTTCTCCTTCCCACCGCCATGTATCATTGGTTTGGCTTCTTTTCCTTTCTAAATATCCAGATCTCTACAAATCTTCTGGGCCATCAGCTTGTATTTTACCACTTCCTAGAAATTCTCCCAGACTAGCAAAGCTTTTGATAGTACCTCTCAGGATGAACGTGCTCTCTGTTGCATGTACTATACTGTGTTATGTGGTATGTGTGTACATGTGTCCATGTGGGTGGTGTGACAATGTACCATTATATTCTGAGGGCATTACATCCCCATTATTACATTGTGAGCTCCGTGTTCCTTATGGCTACTAAAAGCCCTACATTTGCTACTTATAATTAAATATATCTTAGGTTTCATATGTATTTAGGTACTGGCTCAAATGCTTCCTTATCTTTTAATGGGAAAGAAAAGACGTACTTACAGCCGAACCAGATTTGTGAGTCCTCGAAATATGTCTGCATTCAGACATCCTATTCGATTGTTTGTCAGGTCCCTAAGGAGAAGGATGGAAAAGTGTCTTCAATTAGTTCTCTTGGTTAATGAAGGTCTCATGCATTCAGTATTCAAGAACAGCACCCAGGTATTGCACAAGACCTTTATTCTAGCATCTCTGAGATATTTACCCAACTCAAGTGAGACAAGGATGGCAGTGAGGGCGAAAATGATCCTTGCTTTCACTAATTGCTGGCACACACAGACTCAACGCTGCTCAATTATACTGCCCTCTATATTTCAAGCACTTACTCTTGCAAAATTACTCAAGATAAAACTGGAGTAGTAAAAATGAAACTCAATCTATCCTGCTGCCTGCAATACAATTCCTTAGATGACCTACACAGTTAATTATGCTGGGGCAGTTGGAGAACTGACCCAAATTCAGCCAATAAATGACAGACAATGGGGAAAAGGGCAAATTATTAGAATGATGGAAATTTCATTTCCTCAAGACCATCTGCAAATACCACTTTCTGTCTAACTTTATTCCTTAAATACTCAGAAGTTTCAACTATAATGAAAGAAACAACTGTGTTAGCTTTCAGTTTACAGATCTATCATTTAGACTCCAAGCCAAAGTACTTTAACAATATCTATGATACGGCCCAATTATTTTTGCAATCACTCCTCATTTCTATTTTCTATTAAATGCTACCTTCTAAATATTTTTTACTTCTCCTCAATCAACGAAACCGTTTCTTTTTACCTATGTAAAAGTTTTAGTTACTATTTTGTTCTACTCTTATTCATTGACTTTGCTTGACACCAAGGACCATGAACACAATTTCGTTTTTACATTTAATCAGAGGCCTGCACTGATTTAAAAGTAAAAACTTTATGTTGGAAGATAACAACTGACAATATCTGGGATGGCATGACTTTCATCACTGTTTTCAGTGAACTTAGTAAGTCGTATGCGAGAAAACCCTAAAGGTATGAATCTCAAATTTTATTAGTTGTTAGATTTGGAATCATCATCACACTTTGAATTCTGACAAAATAATTAGAATAAGCTCCGTAAGTCAGACTTTCAAAAATGTTTTCACTGTATTTCCTTCAATGTCCCTATTATTCTCTGTCATAGAGAAGTACACATTCTTTGAGTTACTCTTCATTAAGGTAATCTAGACCATCCATTTCTAACTAAAACTACTGGATTCTGAACTGTGTACTTGGTAATGGCAGAAGATGTATTGGTCTCGCCAGAAACTCTAAGAGCACAGCATCTGAATTGGGTACCTACTCATTTTTTTTTCCTTGACAATTGCAAAAGTTAAAATGAGACGGTTAATTTTAGGTGTCAACTTGACTGGACTCAGTGGCCTCAATGGCTGGCAAAGCATTGGTTTGGGTGTGTCTGTGATGGTGTTCCAGGGCAGACTGGTATGGGATCAGTGGGCAGAGAAGAAGGACCTACCCTCAACATGGGTGGGCACCATCCAATCAGCTGGGGCCCCATTGGGACAAACAGGCAAAAGAGAGGGCTTGTCTCTCTCTGCTCTCTCTCCTGCTTCCAGAGTAGGACACCTCTTCTCCTTCTCTTGCTGAACATCAGTCTACACGTTCTTTGTCTTTTGGACTCTGGAACTCACATCAATGCGCTTCCCAGGGCATACAGGCCTCTGGCCTTGGACTGGGGACTGCAACGTCAGCTTCTCCAGTTCTGAGGCCCCCAGACTTAGACTGAGCCATGCTACAGGATTCACAGGCCCTCCAGCTTGCAGAAAGCCTCCTGTAGGACCTCTCTCCCTCCGTGATAATGGGAGCCAATTCCCCCGAATAAATCCCCTCTCATATCTCCTACTGGTTCTCTCTCTGGAGAAGCCTAATACAGCACCTTAAGTAATCCTGGTCTTCAGTAATTTCACAGTTCTACCTTCCCACTCTTATGGCAACTTTTCATCAAAGAATCTTAAGCAATGCAAGGCTTTATCTGTCCTTGTTCTGTAGCTCCTAAGTATTTAATCATTTGGGGCTTTTTTTTAAATTTCAGTTGATTTTCCTTTACTTTCTGGATATCACTGTTTAAGAAAATTAGGCATCATCTTGTAAATTGTTGCTTTAAAAAGCATATCTGGGCTCTATTTATAATCTTGTCTCAATTCTGAGCTTTAAATGGTTCAATTACCATTGATTCTCTGAGAAACAATTTCAGTACAGTTATACCTACTTAAATTGGTAGTTAGATATTGATAATGGGTTTTTATTTGGATTGAGAACTTAAATTTGTTGATAAACAAAAGAAACTGATGGATCTAGGTTTCATCTACTTCTGATGGTATATTCTTCAGAAAGTCACTTCAACTTCCTGATTCAAATTATCTATAAACTAAAGGCAAAGGCATGGTATCATAACAAAAATACTTTATGCGTGCTTGTTAAGGGAGATGCACAATTGAAATTAATGACTTAAGAACCCATAAGAAAAAGGGTCTCTATCTACAAGCAATTAGCAAACATTACTTCTGCCAAATATCTTTATCTGCGGTTGAGTTTACATACAGGACTTCTTCAGCTTGCAAGTTGTGTATCCTAAGCTAATTATAAGTCATCTATTTGGAATTAAGAATGTATCTTCTAGTGGGAAGAATATTATGAATGGCAATTACCTTCTTAAGCAATAACACAAGAGACTACTTAACATGTAATGCAATGAAAGACCACTAAGGCAATGGCTGGTACAATATCAGTAATTACATGAAATACTCCTAAACGAGAATTTTTAAAATTCATTTCGGATGGCAGTGTTTAAGAGATTTTTCCTGCAAGATAAAGAACTAGATGGAGAATCTAAGATAGTCTGCAGTATCTAAAACATCCTGAAGAAACTGCTTTTTATTAACAGCCATGTTTTCTTCAACGTATATCTCAGCATAGAGATATGATAATCAGCATCAACATTTTTATTACCTAAAAGCTGTGACTACAATAGTGTGGAACACAGAGGGAAGAGATAAGAAAAGAACCTGTCTGATAGTGTAATTTCACATTCCTCCCACTGAGGTAAAGACAGATTGGAGGGGAATATGTTCTAAAAAGTTCTCATACTTTCACATCAGAATCCCTGGGAGGGATGGCTGAAGATCACCTAGCAGCAGCCCCAGAGTTTCTGCTAGGGTAGGCCATAGCCCCTGCACTTTTGCTTCCTACTTGACATGGGTGCAAAACTGGCTCCGGGCATATACAGAAGCATAAAGAAAGTGACTCACTGCTATAAATCATGCTCATCTGCTGCTGCCCTCCACTCCCTAGTGACCCTGTGTCTGGAGGCACTGCCTGTTTATGGTCATGCTCCATATCCCCTGCCTGTGTCTGGATAGCTGAGGCCTAACAACATCCAAGACACTTTGCAGCTAAACTCTAGCTACTGTTTCATCTCTTTGTAATTGCATTTCAACTCCATATCCAGGTTCTTGGTCGGTGTTTGCAATTCCATCAGACTGCAAACCCCTCAAGAGGTTCCTGACTTACTTGTGTGTCTCCATAGCCTTGTTCTAGAGCCTTCCATGAATCCTAGATCCATTAGTTTCTCTTTTGTTTTATCAACAAATTTAAGTTGATTCTCAATCCAAATAAAAACCCATTATCAATATCTAAGTACCATTTTAAGTAAGTATAGCTGTAATGAAATTGTTTCCCAGAGCATCAATAGTTGGGCTCACAGGATAGATGTTATGAATTTTTGTTGAATTGAACGGATGCCGATCACTGCCTTACCCACTTTGTGCTGCTATACCTGGCTGACAGCACTTGTACTGAGTGGTAAACCTGGCTTGGTCCCATGCAATCTGATGCCTAATACCCACCCTCCTATAACTCCTATAATATCCACCCTCTTCTCTTCCTTACCTAGAGCTCCAGTCTCCACTATCACCTACCCCAGACCAGCCAGTTTTTCTAACTCGTTTCATTAAAAGCCTCCACTGAAAAATAATAAAGTGCAAAATAAGTGGAAGAGAAGAAAATTGATTAATAGTAAGATCTCCTCCAGATGTCCCTGAGCTTCTAATGAGAGCAGACAAAGACTGATAAACACAGGGAACCACCACCCACCCCCAGCAAAAACTACAGGTATTAAAATCCCCTACTGTTTCAAATTGTAACTAATTTTAAAAAACAAAGAGAAAATCCTTTAACTCCTACCATTCTTAATCTTACAGACTTCTGACCCTTAAGACTGCCTAAGAGAAAGAAATGGGAGGAAAGCTACAGATGATAGATTTTAGATGAAAGGTATCTATCTTACTTGCAAAAACAGTAACAAAAAAAAATCTTCTGCAAAAACAGCATGTCCAATTTCTACAATTGGATTTGACAAAAAAAGAAATAGGTTTTGCAAGTATCACATGTCCTCACTTATAAGTGGGAGCTAAATGTTTAGAACACATGGAAACATAGAGGGAAACAATACACACTGGGGACTTTTGGAGGGAGGAGGATGGGGGGAGGGAGAGGATCAAGAAAAACAACTAACGAATACTAGGCCTAACACCTGGGTGATGAAATAATCTATACAGCAAACACCCATGACACAACTTTACCTATGCAACAAACCTGAACTTGTATCGCTGAACTAAAAAGTTGAAAACAAAAAGAAATGTTTTAAATGACTAAATAAAATAGAAGATGTAAAATGTATTAGGATGGAAAGTCAATGTCAACATTTAAGACACAGCATAATTACACTAAAAGCAACCATACCCAGTGTTATTATACAAATACTATAGAAAACCAGTAAGACACAAAAAATACCCACATACATTGGAGGGAGAAAAAAAGAAAACTCAAAGTTAAGTATGTAAGAACCCCCAAAAAACAAGAGCTAGAGCCAGCCAACAGGATGACTATAAGGAAAATAAAACCAAACATCTGGTCTCTCTCCCTGATCTTTTGTCCCTGGTCTCCCTACACTTACGTGATTTCTCCTTACTGCCATCAGAAATATTCGGAAATACAAATCTCATCATGTCAATTCCATATTCAAAAAGTTCTGTCCCAAGAGAAACATTCTTGCACACCTGCGCTCACCCTGTTTGGAAGGCCTTTTTAATACATATTCAGCCCTTAGGAGCAAGTTCGAATCTAAACAAGTCAGTGGCTCTCCTGACAGGCTGTTTCCATTGCAAGTGCTCTCTCCTTTCCCTAGCAGGTTACGTTTATGATTTTACCTGTTACAGCGCCTGTGTGCATGTTCACATGTATTTTCACTAACGACTGAAGGCAGCAGAGCATGCCACCCAAAAACATGTCATGCTGGCATAAGGATTATTTTGAGCTACAGGCAATTGAAAAGAAGCAGACAGATATAAGAAAAGCTCTCTGCTCTACCCTATCTGACTAAAAGCACGACATAAATTAACAAAGGTGTGTCTCCTCCCCTCTCCACCAGAAAGGACAAAAGTTCCTCCCAGGAGAGGGCTTTAGACCCTTATCAGCTTAGACAAGGCACCAAAGGAATCTACATAACAAACATTACTAATTAGACTTTATCTACCCTTAGTCTCCCATATATTTGCCTTCCTACAATTTGCTTTCCCTTAAGAGACTCAAGGTCCTTTTCCTTTGTCTTGGCACTTCTCTGAAAATGTATTGCTCCTTGCTGAAATGCTACGTAAGCCAGAGTTCTAAGCCACCTCTTTTGAGAGTTACTCTTTTCCTGAGCTTCTGTTTTTCTCTTGTTAATCTGTCTTTTGTCAGAAGTCCAAGCTGAGAAACTAGAAGGGTGGAGGGAGAATTATTTTTCCTCCCTTATATTATGTTACCCCCCTACCCAAGAGTCTGCAAGATCTTCCAAAGAAGTCAGGGAATGGTAAGTGGCCAGTGCTCAGTAAATGCTTTCTGAAAGAATAAAGAATGGAGAGACAGCTACTCTTCTCAGCTACTTCTATAAAATATTCTTTCTGTTTTTCTTTTTCTTTTAGTTTTTTTGAGACAGTCTCGCTCTGTCGTGCAGTGGTGTGATCTCAGCTCCTTCTAGCCTCCTCGTCCCGGGTTCCAGTGATTCACCTGCCTCAGCCTCCCAGGTTACTTGGACTACAGGCAGGCACCACCACGCCTGGCTAATTTTTGTAGTTTTAGTGGAGATGGGGTTTTACCGTGTTGGCCAGGCTGGTCTTGAATCCCTTACCTCAGATGATCCTCCCGCCTCAGCCTCCCAAAGTGCTAGAATTACAGGAGTGAACCACAGCGCCTAGCCTCTTTCCATTTCTCTATCGGGACCTGGCCAAGTGAAGCTCTGAAAGTTATTAAATGTCCATTTTCATCATGCTAAAGTTGACAGCTACTTATACAAGGAACAATTCAAACTCATAAACAAGCAATTCAAACACTTACAATCTTTTTAGAGATGACAGTCCCCAAAAGGCACCTGGATCTATACTACTAATAAGATTGTTTCGGAGGTCCCTGTTAAAAATAAAAGAAAAGTTATTTGCATATCAACACTGTAACAAGTATTCAGGCACATTACACTTACCGGCTATACAAAAAAAAAAAAAAGGTAGAATAATAATGGGAGGAAACTGATGCCAAAATGGTTAAGCCAAGATCAGCCCAGCAGTAAACGGCAGAGTCAGAATTCAAATTTGACAAATCTGGCTCCAAAGCCTTTTGTTTTGGTCACTATAAGAATAAAAATATATGTCATAAAAGAAATACGTGATGTAGTATCATTCAACTCCACAATTATCAAGGAACCACGATCAATTTCTTCCTTAGTAATACTTTGGATATCAAAGTAAATCTAATTACAATTGCGACAAATATCGTTCAATTGAATTTTTTAAAACCATCTTCCAAAATATACACTCTTAAATTCATATCTTTTGGTTGGTCATATACTTTCCCTTCTCTGGCCTTCTATATTTAGGTTTTTGGGGGTTTTTTGTTGTTGTCATCGTTTCAGACAGTTTCGCCCTGTTACCCAGGCTGGAGTGCAGTGGCGTGATCTCAGCTCACTGCAACCTCCGCCTCCCAGCTCAAGCAATTCTTGTGCCTCAGCCTCCAGATTAGCTGAGGTTACAGGCACATGCCACCATACCCAGCTAATTTTTTGTATTTTTTGTAGAGACAGGTTTTTGCCATGTTGGCCAGACTGGTCTCAAACTCCTGACTTCAAGCAATCTGCCTGCCTCAGTCTCTCAAAGTGCTGGAATTACAGGCATAAGCCACCACGCCCAGCCTATGGTTAGGTTTTCTATGAAGTGAGGATATAAAATACATGTGTGATAAACCACAATATATAACTCAAAGCAAAGATGCACAAGCTTCATACCATGTGGTATTTAATAGCAGTCACCATTGATCCTCATTATTCTCAAATATGCTGGCACCTTCAGGCAAGAGCATGACCACGTGGGAGTGGGAGGCAGCAGTGAGTGTCTTCCGTGTGGTTTTGGAGACAGGCTCTGCCTACAGCTCCCCTCCTGGTGGCTGGGCTCAGGCAGGGAATCGCCAGTTGCCTTTACAAGTGTTTGGCTAGACCTCTGCAGAAAGCTAACAGTCTAAATACAGCCTTTTCCCCTAGACCACAATCCTGCGAGCGGCTGGTGCATACTTCAGCTTTATGGGACACCCTCAGCTGGATCTGTTTGTCAGGACTCACCTACAACCTCGTCTACTGAAGCCAGAGTGGCCTCTGCTCATCTCTCAGGGAAGCTGAAGCCAGATGGTGAACTGAAACTCTTTTCAGTTTTTCTTTTCCTGACATCCTTACCTAACAGCGGCATCCTTGCCCCTTCCTTACACAGCCACGTGTCAGCTTCCAACACTACTCTTCATTTAAGGATGCGCATGCCGTTGGTGAAACAAACAGACATGTAGAGAAATGCTCAGTAGAAGCCAAGGTAACCAGTATCTCCAGGGTTCCTCAGTCTATTACTTACTTGAAATGTACAAGACCTTCCTGGAAGTGGACCCTGGACCACTGGCGCCACCTGTCAGCACACCACTGTGCTAGGCTCTCGATTAACAATTGCTCCTTCATGGACATTCTCACCTGTGCCGAGGCAGTCTAAATTATGTAGAGGAAAATCCCCAGTTTGCCTTCTCCATCCTCTCCAAATCAAAAAGCAGTGCGTATCCCTTCTCTACTTATGTCACAGAAAAGGACTCTGAGGAAGTCTCGCTGCAATAAGCACAGATTCATGTGTTTTCTTCCATCCAATGAGAGGCACATTCAGCTTTACTGTCCCACCAGCTACTGAAAGCTAACTGCTATATATGACATGACTCATAACACACCAGGTTTTTCTCAGGCTCATTCCATCCAGATGCAAAAATTACAACATCAAAGTTGGTTTCTGGACAGATTTCCCAGAAATTTCACAAAAACATCCTGAGGAGGTTGGCCCTTTGCTCAACAGCAGCTGTCACTCATTTACCGTAAGCCCAGCATTTTTTATGTGCGTGGCACTGAGGCTTCCCACACTTGGGTGCTATTTAGTACGTGGTGATAGAGACTGGACTAGAAATTCCCAAGGACGTTGCTCTGGAAATGCAACCATAAATCCTGGGATCACTGTGGTTTCCAGAAATTCTATGGTCTTTCTTGCATCTCATCCTCATTTTAACAGGCATTCCTCAGTAGCGAGGGCTGGAGTTGCAATTCTACCACCTCCCCACGATCAGAGCCAGGTGTTCCTAAATAAAACTGAACCCCTGCCGCCACCACCACCAGTACCTCACAATATTTTAAAAAACAAAATGATCATTAAACTTCAGTATTAAGTCCACGCTCTGATTACCATCACTGAATAAGTACTTCATTAATCAGGATTCTGAAAACTTCATATTCCACAAGATGAAAACAGCTTTGTCAATGCTGGTAGCTACCCTAACTTTTTTGCTTTTTGCACCCTGGCCTCTAAGCCATTTTCTAAATAAAGTATCTGAAAAGATCTGAAGAAGTCAGAGCTTCACAGAATACACTTAAATGGTCACAAAAGCTCTTAGGAGTTCGGTAAACTCACAAATCCCATCCTTCTCTCTGGACTTCAAACCAGCTTTTAAGTTCTCCTCTTAACTTGGAGTAAGAAGATGGTCCTTGGTGTAGCAATTTCAACAGAAAGAGGAATATTATTCAGAGGATAAGTTCCCTGCTGTGAACTAGCCAGTGTCCAGGCCAAGCAGAGACCTAAGGAAACTCTGTCCACTCCATTCTGAGGATAAAGAGCAGAAAGGTGTAAACCAGAAGCCACTCAAACATTCAAAAATTCTACAGTGAGTGAAAGTGGGAAAGGTTTGAAACTATCAAAGATTCCAAAATTTAACAGTAATAACACTAGTGATTGCTATCAATTATTTAATGTTTAGATTTTCTCTTTTGGGGTGTCAGCCTTCTCCACTGCTTTGAGGTGGAAACCCCTCTACTTCTCCATATCGTACAGGTCGTGCCCCCAAATTTTCAGCACCATCCCTTCAGGGATGACACCTGATCAATCTTGTCCAGATTTTTCAAATACCCTGGCCTTAGTAATTATATGACTTTGGTCTAACTAAACCTAGGACTTGTAGGGGAGGGAGGTATGAGCATAAACATTCCCACTGGTTTCTTTTTTTTTTTTTTTTTTTTTTTTTTGAGACGGAGTTTCGCTCTTGTTACCCTGGTTGGAGTGCAATGGTGTGATCTCGGCTCACCACAACCTCCGCCTCCTGGGTTCAGGCAATTCTCCTGCCTCAGCTTCCTGAGTAGCTGGGATTACAGGCATGCACCACCATGTCCAGCTAATTTTTTTGTATTTTTAGTAGAGACAGGGTTTCACCACGTTGACCAGGATGGTCTCGATCTTTTGACCTCGTGATCCACCTGCCTCGGCCTCCCACCCAAAGTGCTGGGATTACAGGCTTGAGCCACCGCGCCCAGCCCCCACTGGTTTGATAAGAGGTCAAGATCTGAGTCTGGAGCTGCTAATGGTACTCTTGCCACAATCTGAAGAAGCCAACAGAGGGGAAGAGAAAAATGGTGAGCACTGAGATCCAGCCAAGCCTGAAATCCACCTATGACTCTGGGCTGTGCAGTTACACAAACCACTAAATCCAGTGAGTTGGTATCTATCACTTATCATACCATTAAGACCTTACAATCACTCAAAGAGGCAGTGTCATTGTTTCAGGTGAGGAAACTCACACACAGATTAAGAAATTCGGCCAAGTTCTTGATCGTAATAAGTGGCCAAGATTTAAGTGTATCTTTCTGATTGAGGCAGTGGAGATTCACTAAAGAAACCAAGTAAATGTATAGCTACAATAATAGGGAAACAGGTAAAGCAAACACACTGAAAAGTTGGTCATGTGTTGCTAGAGATAAAATTCTTTCAACTTCTCCATATGTTTGAAAAACTAAGTTATTTTATGTGGTATCACCCAGTCTTCCAACTAGGCCTCAAAGTCACTGCCTCTCTGTCCTGGTCATTATTATTACCCTTGCCCAGGTTGTAAACCACACAAGTACTCACCTGTGTCTGATTCTCCATTTGAAGTGATCTTTCTTAAACTCAGACCTGATCAACTCTCTGCTCTGATTTAAACCTCAAAAAGATCCACAGTCTCCTCAGAAGGAAGTTCAGGTGCATTAAGGTAACTTCCAAGGCTACCCATGGTCCTGGCCTTGCCCACCTTTCCTTCTACAATTCTCACTTCCCATCTGCTCAGCATCTTCCCTTAACGCTCACCCTGTCTTTCTTCATTTATATCAGTCATACGGCAAGTTGTTTCTAGAAAGGGTATTTCCTCTCACCTCTAGACCTCTACACTTTGGATTCCCTGTCCTGAACACATCTCAATCTCCTCCAGCTCACACCTTCACCTCCATCTCTCTTCATCCACACATCCTTGAGGCCTTGGATGAAACTCCATTCCTTCCTCCAGAAAAATACCTGTGAACAACAGAGCTCTGCACCCTGTCCTGTGGCATCTCTTCTCACGCTGTACCAAGTGGACCTCAGTTAAACTGTCTTTACTGAAATACCACGAGTTCCAAGAAAGCAGGATCTGCTCCACTCAGCGAGAGGGAGACATTCAATATAGAACGTGTGGATGGATATGTTAATGAATGAAAGAACACACCAAGGCTGGGAGACAGAATTACATTAACCTTTCAATGAAAATATTTTTAGTAAATTATGGTTGGCTACAAAATTACAAGGATGTTCATAAACCCAGATAATGAAGAGAATGCAGTATCTCATTCAGAATCATTTACATTTCTCCATAAAAGTAGATAGTCACGATGTCTGCCGCTGACCTTCAAATAATTCACCAAACATGTGTAGGTATATTCCAATACAGAAGAAAAAATGATGGCACTATTGTTAATAATTATTGAATTGTTGAATCTGCGTCAGTAAATTGGTAATATGAAAGATTATGGCATTGCCATTCCAATTCTTCTGTATGTTTCAAAATGTTCATAATCGAATTTTTAATCCCCAGTGTTTTATGTCCCAGGAATAAAGTTACTCATCAGGCTTGACTTACTAGTTCCTATCTCCCTCCATCCAACTCCCCAGCCGACCCTCACTTCAAGAAGATAAGATGATTTTATGAAAAAATTAAACCTCTATGTTTCTGACTTGTTTTGCATAAGCTAAAAAGCTCTGTAAACAGAAATATATAATGTCAGTTCCATTTTTTTTAAAACATAGGTTTCCCTTTTCAGATTTTAAACAGCATCTACAAGGAACTGATTTAGGTAAAGCAGTACATTAATTTGGAGTCAGTGATGAACTGCATATGTTTCTACAAAATACCTCTCATGAATAACTGAGGACACTGTAATATAATTTAAATATGTTCTTTTTCTCTAATAAAAAATTCTTGACATATTATATAACATTTCATAACAGCCATATTAATCAGGCATTGCCAAAAGATATTTATAGTCAGATTCTCTTGTTTACCATCCCCTTTCCACCCACCCACCCCCACCCCCACCAACTAACCCACAGCTTCTCTAGGAGACAGGAGTCTGACTTCAGGACCTATGGCTAAATATGAATATATTGGATCATTAAAGCATAAATGAAATAAAAAGCACACGAATTGCTTAAATAGAACTAAAGGAATATTTTAAGTGCTGGCAAAAGAATGACCTCCTTTAGGAAAGAACATGAAGTATACCAGGCAAGATACCTTTAACTCCAAGTATCAGAACCCTGAACTCGAAACAGCTTCAACAATCACAAAAGCAATTCTCTGGCATTACCAACCATCAAGAAATCGGGCTGGTGGTTGGTTCCATCCATCTCTCAGATCCACCATCTGCAGAATGCAACTGTGCCTCCAGGCTGAGCCTCACTCACAACATGGTATCCCAGGTTCAGAAATCACCTCCAAGGCAAAGTCAAAAAGGAACACTTTCTTCTCATACTTCTCCTTCAAAGCTAGGAAATCCTTCTCCAAACCCCACAGCAGGCTGCTCTGCTCCTCATCTCTTATTGACTATGACAGACTCTGTCAATAGCTGGAAGAGAAACTGAATGACCTTGGTGGCCTAGGGGTAGGATGAACACTGGAAAGTCAGACACACTGATGAGGAGGCAACTGTAGTGTCAGCAGTTAGAGGAAACGGGGGAGGCATGTCACTAAATACCAGTAACTAAATATACAGCATTATATAAGAATGGCAATTCTATGCAATGAAGACAGAGATGGGGCCGGGCGCAGTGGCTCATGCATGTAATCCCAACACTTTGGGAGTCCGAGGCGGGCAGATCACTTGAGGTCAGGAGATTGAGACCAGCCTGGTCAACGTGGTGAAATCACATCTCTACCCACAATAAAAAATTAGGTGTGGTGGCATACACCGGTAATCCCAGCTACTTCTTTAAAAATTAAAATGAAAAAGTATATACAGGGGAAAAGAAGAGCCCAGTCCTTTCATTACTTTCTCTTTCTTTCTAAAGTGGGCTGCTCTATGACAAAGACAGTACGGGAGGCAGGTCGCACCTGAGCAGGCATGGCCTCCCCCACACTGCTGGACTGAAGCCAAGACCAGGTCTGGACCTTGACGTGTGTGAACTTCAGATATACTGAGCTTAGGGCCAGCGTAGGTAAAGACGTTCTCCAACACAAGAGGTCCAGGTCGCAGGGTCAATACTGGGCTTTCACACTGAAGCCCCCACTAATAAAATAGTCTTTCAAGGTCCCTTATCTATATATTTATCTCTCTGGTCCCACAAAGGAGTGGGGAAGTATTCTGCGATTCAGGAATAAACAGACCCCTGGCTAAAAACAATCACAGCACCTCAGTATCACCCAAAATGGCTACTTAATTGGTTTCCAACATGTGCAGAGATTTATCAGCTTTAAATGGCCGAAAATAAGGTCAAAGACAAGGGAAATTAAGAAATAGATGCAAAAAGAGTAGTAATTCACACCACAGCACAGAACATTAGCTGTGCTGTCTATACTTTTTACGGTGTACATGAACAGCCACATCAATCCTAGGTGCCAAAAATAAAATGTGTTTCTAAACACAGCAGACACTATTTATAACCTAGGAGTGCCTGCCATCCTTCCTTTGGAAAGGGAAGACCACACTAATTCCTTTCATTATCAACCAAGCACATACTAAATGCCCGACAATGCATTATATGCAAAGGATATCTGTCAACCCATTAACTTTTCTTTGCAAGGAATGAAAAATATAAGAATGTACAGTCTCACACAATGATTTAAGGCAGTCATGCATTGCCAGGTCCTCCGAGGCTTCCTGTCTGCTTTCCTGATGGCCCCAAATGTCCATTCCTGAACCATGAAATGTATATGAAGGACCGTCCTTAGCTTAGGCAGGCCTAGAGCCAAGGGTGTGATCAGCATAGTCTAAAGCACATGGACAACGTAGACCATGACAGGAATATTGAAATAAAGTGCTACCGTGCCAAGTACATTTTAAAATATTCCTGTGTGTTTCTGTATGTATCTATATATGCGTGTAAACAACCTAACTTAAAGACATCTGATCTAAATGAAAGAAGAACTCTAGCTGGGCACAGTGGCTCACTCCCACAATCCCAGCATTTTAGGAGGCCAAGGAGGGCAGATCACGAGGTCAGGAGCTCGAGAGCAGCCTGACCAACATGGTAAAACGCCGTCTCTACTAAAAATACAAAAATCAGCCAGGCGTGCTGGCACGTGCCTGTAATCCCAGCTACTCAGGAAGCTGAGCAAAAGAATCACTTGAACCTGGGAAGCAGGGGTTGCAGTGAGCCAAGGCCATGCCACTGCGCTCCAGGCTGGGCAACAGAGTGAGACTCCATCTCAAAAAAAAAAAAAAAAAAAATGAAGAACTCTATATCATATATATTTATATAACATATCAGAAACCTAAGCACTGAAGTCCTTCGGGAGTTCAATCACAGGAGAAGCCTCTAGGTGAAAGGGTCAAGAAAAGGCCATGGAGAGAAGTGGAGAAAGTGAAGCTGAGCAAAGAGAATTAAGAGAAATGAGGACAGTCTGTAATTCCACGGAAACGGAGATGGTTTCACAGTGTAGCTCCCTTATGTATTTTGAAATTGTATCCTAAATACAGGAGTTACAGGGGAATTTGAAACGTGACCCCGGAAGAGCATTCAGAATACAAGTCAATTAAATGCCCATGGTCTGAAACTCACCTAACCAAAAATATGAATGCTACCTGTAACATACCACAAGCAAAACTAGACCTAATTGCTAAGAAAAAAATATATATATACACATATCACATTCAAACACACCTGAATAAAATATCAAAGTTTATACAAGTGTTTTTCCCCTTGACATCCGACCCCTGCTGCTGTTTTCGGCATGTGACATGCAAGCTTGGCCTGCCACCATGACTGTAAGCTTCCTGGGGCTCCTATGAAGCAGAGCAGATGCCAGCACCATGCTTCCTGTACAGCCTGCAGAACTGTAACCCAATTAAATCTCTCTTCTTGGTAGATTACTCAGTATCAGGTATTTCTCCATAACAATGCAAGCATGGCCTAACATAGCATACATATTTCAGGATACAGAATTTCAACACAGCATCTATGCTTTAAGCTAGCATACTTTAAGGTCAACCAAGTATGGTCCATGACCTCTGGTATAAGTAAAGACTTATTGGCAGACATCCACATCAATTCATTTATTATTCCTAAGTATTGTCTTATGCAATAGTCATTGGCTTATTATCTAAGGCTTCAATCACACTTCAATGGCAGAGGTGAGTCACTTGTGGCCAGCTGTGAAAACCCAATTTACTTACTATCTGGCCCTTTACAGAATTTAGATCATTACTTGTTTTTTAAAATAAATTATTAAAACTTTTCATTAAAAAAAGTCAGAAAAACTCTTTTTGTTTTGAATACTTGGGAGTTTAGTAATAGGTTTACAATGAAAACACATTAAACAAAATAATAATGAGATGATAATTAAAGAATACTCACAATCTTTCAAGGAGACTTAACCCAGAAAATGAGCCGTTCTTCAGCTCAGATATCTTATTGTTACTGAGAATCCTAAAAAAATACCAAAAAAAACCATAAGTTGCATAATATATACTACCAATATCAAAGTAATTTAGCTTAAAACTATGAGGAATTCTAAAACAGCATTTATTAGCTAGAACGTTTGAGTTGGCTGACAAAAAATGCGTGTCTTCCCCTTTCTCTGAGAAACCAACTATTTAGTTCATTCATGCATCTTGTCACATCTAAATTATTTCCATCACAAATAATCAAAACTTTAAAAGAGAAAAAAGTCAGTATGTAATAGCTCTAAGTTCAACATAAGTGTAAAGAATACGAAACCATGTATGTTTATATAATTAATCAAATTATGCAAGTTGAAAACTCATTTTAAAACTGGAAATTTAACAGAAAAAATGCATAACCTATGATCTTGCAAAATACTTTATAAAGAAATGGTTATCTTCTAGATATTATTTTGATAATGCCGAATATTATTTGTAATTTAACATGACATACTCAATGAGTAGCCATTAAGATTCAAATTGTTTCCTTGGTTCTGAGACACACACCCTCCTTCATTTAAATGTTTTCTGAAGTAACTCAGGAATGGAAAATCAAACACCATATGTTCTCACTCACAAATGGGAGCTAAGCTGTGAGATGCAGAGGCATAAGAATGACACAATGGACTTTGAGGAAAAGGTGAGAGACGGGTGAGGGATAAAAGACTACACGTTGGGTGCATCAAATCTCAGAAATCACCACTAAAGAACTTATTCATTAACTAAACACCACCTGTTTCCCCAAAACCTATTGAAATAAATAATTTTTAAAAAAGAAGTTTTCTGAAGTCCAGATGTATCTTACAATCCAAGTATATTACTGAATTATATTCTGTCCCCATCCCACCCCCACAAGCTGTTTGTTAGTTACTAAAAGCAAGATTCACACCTCTAGTGGCAGCTACTTGGGGGTGTTGGCAGAAGAACTGCTTGAGCCAGAGAGGCAGAGGTTGCAGTGAGCCAAGATAGTGCCACTGCACTACAGCCTGGGCGACAGAGCGAGACTCCATCTCAAAAAAAAAAAGCAAACACCAAAACCGGTATCACTGATTGAAAAGAGTCATTGCATAGTCAAAAATAATAATTGGGAAGAAGACATATCAAAATGCTCACTACTTTAGTGATGAGTTTCGATTAATTTATCTTTTATTATTTCTTGGTTTTTTGTTGTTGTTGTTGTTTTGAGACAGAGTTTCCCCTCTTGTCACCGAGGCTGGAGTACAGTGGCGCGATCTTGGCTCACTGCAACCTTCACCTCCCAGAATCAAGCGATTCTCATGCCTCAGCCTCCAAGAATTTGGGTGCCCACCACCACAGCCAGCTAATTTTTGTATTTTTAGTAGAGATGGGGTTTCACCATGTTGGCCAGGCTGGTCTTGGAACTCCTGACCTCAGCTGATCTACCCACCTCGGCCTCCCAAAGTCCTGGAATTACAAGTGTGGCCCACCACACCAGGCCAATTTACCTTTTATTTTTTATAATCCTGCAATATCTTTTGAAATCTCTAAAATAAGACTTATATTCTAAGTATTTTTCCTCCTGGTAATAAATATAAGAATCTTAATTGCTAAGTACAGCTTGAGGTTGAGATTATTTTTGAGTATATCTTAGAAATAAAAACAAGTGAAGAATAATGTGTGCTTTGAGATTAAAGGGTCCCATTTATTTATTGAAATTTTTATTTCGGTAAGTGTTTATATAGTGACTGACATGAGAAACTTAACAGGCACTAAAAGTAGTGCACAAAACAACGGTGCTGCATTCAGAGTCTAGGGTTTTAGCCGCAACCCCTCAAGGAATAAATGATTCAGTTTGTGTGACAGTCACTTCACTTTTCTAGGTGGACTTCAACTTCATCTTTAAGACAAAAAAAAAAAAAAACTAGTGGTTACTGAGATCCCTTCCAGCTAGTTTTAATTTTCTATATTTAATTATTATGTTTTAATGAGTAAAGCTGTCAAACTTTATGGTGACTAAGAACTTACAGTAAACCAAAGAACCGGGAAATGAAAACTACACAAACTACCAAGCTCAGTGACATCAGCGTCCTGTTTCTGAGTAAAGAATGAAGTAGCTTATAAAGAACGGCCAAGGTAGTGACTGAATTACACTCACTGCAATTCAGGAATGCTTCAGCCAAAGGACTGTCATTTGCTCAGTCATAAAAGCTTTAGTACGAGAAATGATAGATTTTATTGAGGAAAATAAAAAGGAAGGCATTTCATCACACTTAAAAAGTTATAACTGTAACCTTAAAAATACAGTTTACAACCTCAAGTTAATATATTCAGTCTACACATTATTTGATGTGTTTAAGGATTTTGTGCGAGAAAACAGGATCAGTATGAATAAATCTACTCTGCAGACAGCTTTATACTCAATTTTGAAATGGGGACTGTGGAACTAGCGAAGGCGTAATATCATGTATCATTAGAAACCTAAAACCCATTCATAATCAATATTTTTGCTGACATCGTTGAAATTTCAAACTTTGTAGGAGGTAACTAAATGAAAAATACAAAACTTGACTGAAGCCATAAAGCTTATATACACCCATTTCTATTCTATACTAATGACGTTACCGCACATGATCTATAGACAATGCTTAGAAACGCTACTTGAAGCTCTCGCCTCAAGAGTGAGAGCTTCTTAACATCAATATTAGATAGATCAATGAGACAGAAAATTAACAAGGATATCCAGGACTTGAACTCAGATCTGGAACAAGTAAACTTAATAAACGTTTATAGAACTCTCCACTTTAAATACACGGGATATACACTCTTATCAGTACCACATCACACCTACTCACAGGTTTAAATGAAATATTGGCTGGCTGCTTGTTTGTTATTTTCTTCCCTCATTTTTCACAGTCTCTATTATTAAGCACAACTATTGGCATAAAAGAGGTTTTCAATACCCATTTTTAGACTGCATTCTAGCCTGGGCAATAAAACAACACTCCCATTCTCTCTTCCTCTTTCTTCCTCTCCTTCATTTTTTTTTCTTTCTCTCTCTCTTTCTTTCTTCCTTTTTTTCAAAAAAAAAGGAGCTCTCGTCCCTTGAATTTAATCACCATGAGGAAGTCCTTGATGTCCGTCGCTACCATTTAACACAGTACCAAGTTTAAGTTCGGTATATTGCTCATGCTGGAATATGAGAACAGGAGTGAGACTTACTATGGACATGTCTTTTAAAAAATCAAAAGTTTATGAAGCAGAAGAAATGAAAATTAAGTAGTATTAGAAGTTCTCAGTTGCTTGCTACTACAAGTCCCAGAATGGAGTGAATCACTGAAAGCACTCATACCTTGTATGGCAAGAAGACACAAAATAATTATCCTTTTGAGAAATTTGAAAATCAATTTCAAGAGTATTAAATATTCAGATCAAATATGTTAGAATTATATAATTTTTGGCATCAACCATTGTAGGGAAAAATCAGATAAACAATCTCATAGGATTATCGTAGAGGCTTGCATGGCTGAAGTGGGTTGAAAGACATCTACCTGGAACCTGTAAATGTGACTGGAATATGAGCTGTGAATATGACCTTGTTTACAAAAAGAGTGTTTGGCCCGGGCGCATTGGCTCATGCCTGTAATCCCAGCACTTTGGAAAGCCAAGGCAGGTGGCTCATGAGGTCAGGAGATCGAGACCATCCTGGCTAACAGGGTGAAACTCATCCCTACTAAAAATACAAAAAAATTAGCCAGGCGTGGTGGTGGGTGCCTGCAGTCTCATCTACTCGAAAGGCTGAGGCAGGTGAATCGCTTGAACCAGGGAAGCAGAGGTTGCAGTGAGCAAAAATTGTGCCACCGCACTCAACCCTGGGTGACAGAGCAAGACTTCGTCTAAAAAAAAAAAAAAAGAAAGAAATGTATTTGTGGTTGTAATTTAAGGTTCTAAGAGAACATCCTGAGTTAGGGTAGGCCCTAAACCCAATGCAAGCGTCTTAAAATGGAAGAAGAGAAGATAAAGTTCAAGGCTCTGTGAAGATGAAGGCAGGGATGAGCCTCAGAAAGAGACAAAAGGGTGAAGACAACCAGATTCACAACCCATAAAAGCTAAAGATTTCCCAGAACTAAGTTAAAGAGCAAATACATTTTAAAATGTAGTACATTTTTAAAATTACTATTTGATTTTTTTAAATCCATAAGCAATGTTAAAAATAAACAACCAATATTTATAACTCCTATTAAAGGCAAAGGACTAATTTTCCAAACACACAAAGAAGTCTTTAAAATATAGATACACAAAGAACTCTTTAAAAAAAAAAAGAAGAAGAAGAAAAAGCTCCCCAATAGATGTGGTCAACAAACATACGAAAAAAAGCTCATCATCGCTATCACTAGAGAAATGCAAATCAAAACCACGATGGCACGCCAGTTAGAATGGCGATCATTACAAAGTCAGGAAACAACAGATGCTCGAGAGGATGTGGAGAAATAGAAATGCTTTTACACTGTTGGCAGGAGCGTAAATTAGTTCAACCATTATGGAAGACAGTGTGGTATTTCCTCAAGGATCTAGAACCAGAAATACCATTTGACCCAGCAATCTCATTACTGGGGATATACCCAAAGGATTATAAATCATTCTATTATAAAGACACATGACCATGTATGTTTATTGCAATACTGTTCGCAACAGCAAAGACTTGGACCCAAATGCCCATCAATGATAGACTGGATAAAGAAAATGTGGTACATATACACCATGGAATACTATGCAGCCATAAAAAAGGATGAGTTCATGTCATTTGCAGACATGGATGAAGCTAAAAACCATCATTCTCAGCAAAGTAACACAGGAACAGAAAACCAAACACCGTATGTTCTCACACATAAGTGGGTGTTGAACAATGAGAACACATGGATATATGGAGGGGAATATCACACACTGGGGCCTCTTGGGGATGGGGTCTAGGGAGGGATAGCATTAGGAGAAATACTTAATGTAGATGACGTGTTGATGGGTGCAGCA